ATGGCGCGGCCTTGTTAGTTAGTTAGTTAGTTAGTTAGTTAGTTAGTTAGTTAGTTAGTTAGTTAGTTAGTTAGTTAGTTAGTTAGTTAGTTAGTTAGTTAGTTAGTTAGTTAGTTAGTTAGTTAGTTAGTTAGTTAGTTAGTTAGTTAGTTAGTTAGTTAGTTAGTTAGTTAGTTAGTTAGTTAGTTAGTTAGTTAGTTAGTTAGTTAGTTAGTTAGTTAGTTAGTTAGTTAGTTAGTTAGTTAGTTAGTTAGTTAGTTAGTTAGTTAGTTAGTTAGTTAGTTAGTTAGTTAGTTAGTTAGTTAGTTAGTTAGTTAGTTAGTTAGTTAGTTAGTTAGTTAGTTAGTTAGTTAGTTAGTTAGTTAGTTAGTTAGTTAGTTAGTTAGTTAGTTAGTTAGTTAGTTAGTTAGTTAGTTAGTTAGTTAGTTAGTTAGTTAGTTAGTTAGTTAGTTAGTTAGTTAGTTAGTTAGTTAGTTAGTTAGTTAGTTAGTTAGTTAGTTAGTTAGTTAGTTAGTTAGTTAGTTAGTTAGTTAGTTAGTTAGTTAGTTAGTTAGTTAGGATATTAAAACTAGGTCTACCCACGTATCCGGTGACGTCCAGTGAAAAGCTCATACTATTTCAATAATAGCGCATACATAATATTTAGGCAAGTACCGAAATGGAGGGGGTGGGGTAGACAAAAGGGTAAAAGAACTGGAGGAAGGAACAAAATGAAAAGGAAGTGCAATAAAAACACAAAGAAAGAGAAAAAGTCCGAACCGTTTTCGACGTCATCACGATGGAAAGCCTGCCTCATGATTTCTACTTCACGTGGTGACCCTGATGTCAGACAGGGACTGCTCCATTTCTTTATGATTCCGGTTGCTTTGAACTGTCCCACTCACTGTAGAATATTCTTACAAGAAGGTGTTTCACCGTAAGTCGCTCTGAGCGTCTTCGGAACAATAACAATGCTCTTGCTACATCTGTCATGAACACACACGCAGCCTTCTCTTGGCCGGAAATCTTTCTGCAGGCAACAATCAACTGGCCTCCACGATCTCTCCGATGGTGTTCCGTTTCGTGTTGTGTTGCACAGCTTGTACGATTATTGTGACGGACAAGTTACTAGCACGACGAATCTGATAAACCCTTCGGCTGAAGGGAAAACGCTTTACCGAAGAGGTTAATTTAGCGTAACCTTCTTTATACATGGTTTCTGGTTAGAACTTCAGCCGAACTAACAGCTATCCTGACAGAGTTTGCTTCATTTCCCTCCTTGTCATTGTGCGAATGTTGAGGTGGCAGGCTGCTGTCTGTTCACTTAGAACAGTGCTTTTCATTTGCGCAAATACCAATCATTCAAAATATATCTTTCGATTTTTAGGTTATTTTTCCTTAGAGGAATAATAACGAAACTTGAGACTTTCTGATCGTATTAGAATCAATGTCCCGCAAACCTACTTTTCCTGAAGTCCCAGAACACCATAGACTGAAACAAATGTAATTTATACAAACATTGAAAGAATGTTTCGTTATTTCCTCTGCAACAAAGGTAATATTTGCAGAAAACCACAAACACCGAGCAGAAAGGTATAGCGGTAAAGCTTTGGACTTGTAGTTAGGGGTCCTTGTCTCTGATCTCGATCGGAACAGCGGTTACATTGACACATTCTTCATGGTTCTTCTCAGTTCCAAAGAAAGTAGCAGGACAATCTCTCGAATAGGCACTATGTTACAAGCCGGAAGGTCGCGGTTAGATTCCAGATGAGGTCACTGAATTTTTCAATTGACCTAATTTTTCCAGCTTCATTATGCCCTGGAGTCGGCTCAGCTTCTAACAGAAATGAATACTAGTAATCTTCCTGGGATAAAGGGCGGCCGGAGTGTAAAGTTTACAACCCCACCGCCATATGTCAGTCGATTGTATAGGAAATGTGGCAGTCTCGACGTCTCAAAATCCTATGGGCCTCCACGGCCTGTTACAGAGATAGCTTCACCTTTTACCACACAACACATGCTACAGTCCTCTTTATACTTTGTCAATGGATAAGCACATGACTTGATTTCTCCTGTCTATCCTTCCGTCTATGCTGTCGAAGGTCTATGCTCTTGCCAAATTAAACTGTCCCCTGAAGGAGCTTCTCGTGAGTGTATGACGCAACGAATTTCGGATCAATTTTTACATGTAGCATTCAACTTTATATCTCAATATTCAACATCTGTGCATTTAAAGAACTCTGTCTTCTGGGATACAAAACCACGCAGTAGTTTGAAGTCATCTGATACTGTCGCCTCCATCTTCAGGGTTTTAGACAAGCAAAAAACCAACATGAAACACAGCGTTATGTATCTGAAGGGAGAAATCTTCATAATAACCGCTGTGAGAAACATTTCATCTGACATTTCGTCTGAGAAGCACGTTACCAATTTCATTGGGTTCTCAGAATAAACTTAGTACCTCTAAGGAGATGGGTGTTTATTGAAAGCTAATAATAGTTCAAGGAGTCCAGCAATTCTCCACTTTTTATAGAACCATAAGGTTCACTACTCTTGAAAGGAGGCGATCACTGTCCTTATTCTCAGTCAAATTAAACTAGCCCACAGCGCGGAAAAGATTATTTAATATTATCTTCGCATCTTCCAACTTGTCTATCACTTGAAGTTCTCGAACATTATTCTGCATATCTCCTCGTCTTTGCCAGTTCCTGTCCTCCTTGTTACGCATTCTTGCGTTTGACCCACTGNTTTGTATTTCTCTGTAATTGTTGTAGTTGTTAATCGTATTTGGTTTGTATTCACTGTGGTAGGATGTCCTTATTGTTGTGTTTTGTGTATTGTGTTTTGTTTGAACGTGTTGTCACTTAGTGTAATGTGTGTTACTTGTCTGTTGTGTCCTATTGTGTACTACTGCCACCGGGCTAAAACCCAATTGCAGTATAATAAATAATATATATATATATAATTATCATAAAAAGACATGACCCACAAAAATGAGACGAATTAGAAGGGTCCCTTCCAGTTGATTCATCATTATTAAACAAAAGTTTAGGCAAGAAGTAATTGCTTACTCTCTTTTGTCACGACACGGTCAGCATAGAAATCAATTCGAACAATTCTTATGTCGTTGAGTGTATTTCGTTACCGTGGTAACCTTTTTACTGGACCTTGGACTATCAACGGCAGGAGGATTTTTACCGAGCCGTTACCTAGCAACTAGGAGCAGGACACACAATTCTTATGTCGTTGAGTGTATTTCGTTACCGTGGTAACCTTTTTACTGGACCTTGGACTATCAACGGCAGGAGGATTTTTACCGAGCCGTTACCTAGCAACTAGGAGCAGGACACACAATTCTTATGTCGTTGAGTGTATTTCGTTACCGTGGTAACCTTTTTACTGGACCTTGGACTATCAACGGCAGGAGGATTTTTACCGAGCCGTTACCTAGCAACTAGGAGCAGGACACACAATTCTTATGTCGTTGAGTGTATTTCGTTACCGTGGTAACCTTTTTACTGGACCTTGGACTATCAACGGCAGGAGGATTTTTACCGAGCCGTTACCAAGCAACGAAGAGCAGGACACATATAGAGACACTGAATGATTGGAGAGATTTAGAAAACGAGTCCAACAATTCTTATGTCGTTGAGTGTGTGTCGTTGCCGTGGTAACCTTTTACTGGACCTTGGACTATCAACGGCGGGGCGATTTTTACCGAGCCGTTACCTAGCAACGAGGAGCGGGACAAACATAGAGACACAGAATGATTGGAGGGATTTACGAAGTAAGCCGCTGAGATGGGTCTAGGTGC